GCAGAGCGACTCCATTTTTCTTGTCTCCTTATTATGATTAGACATGAATGAAAAGTGCCAAGCTGACAGACTGCGAAATCCGTGGATTAAAAGTGCTAAGTCCAAATTGTGTGGGACGATATCGACGAACTTCAGGAATAAGTTGTAGGGATTTTGTTCGACGGCTACAGTGACGCCAACTTGGACATTTGAGGGTTTTAAGTTTGACGAAGATGACAATGAACATACAAATAAAGATCTGAGAAGTTTTTTTCAAACAGCTATGAATTTTTATAATTTTTACTGTGTAAATTATTATTGATCTTGCATGACGGTTGATGCGTAATTTGTGGAGACCGGAAATCTTTTTACGCAGTTTAACCCCTGACATTTTAATTCATTTTGAGTTCACGCGTATTCAAGTTGGGCGTGTTTGTTGGCGGGAAAATCCTAATTCAAATGATTCCTCACTGTCGATTTTTATTATTTCTGGTTTTTTGTCACATTATAAGCAATACATTATTTTTGTTCTACTTCTAGTGTTGCATATTGTTCATTTATTTCCGTTCCATGTTTTCATTTGTCGTTCTATTCCCTGCCGCAGTTCGATTGAACTCCGTGTTGCCGATTTTCGTGAATTTTCTTTTTTTTTGCCGGGGATCTCCTGGCAAACGCCCACCCCTTCTCTTTTTGGCAATTTTCCTTGTTCAAGACCCTGGGCTTATACCCGGATAAATACGGTATATGTTGTAAAATGTCATAAATTTAGAGGGGAGATTTATAAGTACATCTATAAAGGACGACTTACTTCTTGTCTTCTTTCATTGTTGGGGTCTTCTATTTCATGCCAGCTATCATCATCTATCTCTCCTAACCACAGGTTTTCACCAAGCCCATTCAAACAATTTGGATTTCCTTTACAATTACGTCTGAAAAAATATACAGTTAAAACAACCTATTGGTTAGTGTAGGTCTAAAGCTGGAGAAACACTTTTGAAAATGATTACATCCACTCATACAACATTTGTTTTATTTATTTTAGTGAACCATTTACATTGTAACATACATTGAAATTGATACTGGGTACAAGGTACAAAAACACAGACAAGAAAAACAAAGGCATGTTAAAACTGGAAAACAAAACACAAAGAAAATTACAACAAAAATGAATCAAATGTGATGCGAGAATTGAGTCTTATTGAGAATAAATATTAAAATTAATTCAAAATTCAAGAAGCTTGGATACAAATATTAGTGTGCTATATTGAGATGCACAATGTGAAAACAATGCGATCCAAAGAATTGAAGTTTATACTACTCACAGACAATTCTTATTAAAACAAAATGTATACTTTGATTGTATATCCCTGGTTTACATCTGCTTTATTCCAGAAAACCTAGCTACATGTATGCAACAAGTTAATTCAAATCTGATTTTTTGAGATATCAGGAATTTTTCATCAACTAATCACTCCTAATAAATTACAACAGGGCATCTATATTTCTTTGAAATATGACTAATGATACTTTTGTTGAACAAAATTGGCTGATTTATTTAAATTAGGTAATTGATATTCACGGTTCATCTAAAACTAATCAGTTCTATGGATTAATCCAAGAGCACATACATATCAAGACTTTTTGTTGATATATTGATGGAAAAGCTAAAAATAGGCTAATTTATGCAAATTAGACAATTATCATATACAGAATTCAATCAAAAACAGGCCTGTGAAGTATACTTAGTACTCAAGATATTGGTGGAAAGGCCAAAAATTTACTAATCATTATGCAAACAACATAATTAATAATTTGCATAGATTTCAACCTAAAACTAATCAGGAATTTGCATTGTCCCATAACATCTATGTACCAAGTCTCAATAAAATGTTATGATTAGCACTTGACATATCAATGAAAAGACCAAAGATTTACTAATTATATATACCGCAGATAATTAACAAACACTAATCAGGTCTGAGCATTGTTCCAGAGCATGTACCAAGTTTCACACAAACACAAAACAGGGTAACTGTAAAAAATTGCTTGCTTCGCGCAAGGGAGTGATTAAAATGGTTTAACACTAATTTAGGTTCCAATTAAGGAAAACAAAAACTGTTGATAAAATGACAGTAAGTGGTGATGAACACTGGAAAAATCACATACACAAATATAACTACTTTTCTAAGGTTCTAACAGCATTACTTATTATTCAGTCATGGTTTGATACAAAAAATGGAATTCTTTGGTTTGCTATGAAATGAACATAAAACAGAAGGTTGTGTAGTATTCAGGACCTAGTATACAACTACAGTCAAACCTGTGTTAACGACCACCTGTGCAGAGCGGCCACCTGCTCATAGCGACCACCTTAGTACAGTCCCTTCGCAGTTTACACGTTAAAGACACTGGATATAGCGACCACCTGTCCAACGCGACCAGCGACCACCCTATTGTAGACCTATTCACAATTTAACCTTTGTATAACGACCACCAACATTTCCATCAAACGGTCTCAGCAAAAAGACAATAGCTACTTGCGAATCGCTAACAGGAAAGTGGCCACATGTTACGTTCAGATTACCGAGTACGCAATCTTTAGGGCTAATAGACAGGGGTGACCATCGCAACTTGGTTTGTGAAGTTGCGAAAAAGTCAAAAAAAAAGTTGAATATCATGAA